ACCTTTTTGATCTTATTGCTCCTCTTTAAAACATTTATGTACACTAAAACAGTAGCTGATGAAAGGACAGTAATTTCATTTTGCATTTCAATTGCATTTTCTGTTTGGGGAAATTTTATTGGAAATTCCAGAACATCATAGCATTATTGGAAAATGCTTTGTGTTCTGGTATTTGTAGCCATGCTTCTCTAACATTAAATATTTTCTAGTTATCTTTCTTTTTTCTTCCTTGCTGTTTATTATGATTGACAGATTGACACGCGCCATTGCTATGGATTGTGAGATGGTAGGGGTGGGGCCTGGAGGAGAGGAGAGCATGTTGGCACGTGTCTCCATCGTCAACTACTTTGGCAAGTGTGTTTATGACAAATATGTTAAACCAACAGAGAAAGTCACTGACTACAGGACAGCCGTGAGTGGCATTCGGCCTGCTGACATCGAACACGGTGAGCAAAAGAAATGATTTTTTTAGCATCATAAAATATTAAGCAATCACCTTAATATTATCATCACCCGGATGGCCAAATATCCTAATCATCTTATTGTTTTGAGCATCATCATTCAGTTCTTGCTAAAATCATATTTTATTTTGATTTAGTTTTAATTGTATCTATACGTGGAAATAACTTCGTACAGTATATAGTAATGCAAATCCAGTTGTAGTCCACTGCCAAGTTCATAAGTTATTAAAAACTGAGTAGATAAAACGGAACATATCCTTCAGTAAGCTTATATTATTTTAGATGTTCATGTGTGAACATCCTATTAGCTCATCATGTGCGTTATTTTTAAATTGTTGTGACAATTTATATTTCATTCAAATAGGAAAAATATTGCTCACATTGGTACACTTCTATTTTAGAACAAATTTTTTATTTATGTTAGTGAAAAATGATGTAATAAAATCGTCACAGTTTTACTGATGAAATAAAGCAAGTCTTGATATTGACTTAGAACTTTGTTTATATTGTGTTTAGAATTGGTATTCAGTTCTTACTGTATGTTTCACAGGGGAGGACTTCAAAATAGTACAACAGGAAGTGGCTAAGATGCTGGAGGGACGAATATTAGTGGGACATGCCATCCATAATGACCTGAAGGTGCCATATACCACTGAGTTCAGGCTGAATGTATATTGTATATAAATGTAAGTCATAGTAAGAGCTGCTTATTCTTTTCTCTCGTATAGATTTTGTTACTGGATCACCCAAAAAGAAATACGAGAGACACTCAGAAGTACAAACCATTTAAGAAGATAGCAAAGGTAGTGACAGTTTTATAAACATACTTCAAATAGCCTTTATTGAGCTTCTTATAGATGTAAACATAAATGTTGAAAGTGTCTCTCACTATCTTGCACACACAGAGTGGACGTCCGGCGCTGAGGGTTTTGTGTCGGGAGATTCTGAATGTGAAAGTACAGCAGGGAGAGCACTCGTCTGTATGTACCTCTTTAGTTCTATTAAAGTACATACTGTCTGTATTACAGGGGTGCACATGTTTCTGTTGCGCTACTCAGGAGCTCCAGTTTCCCAGTGTTTTTGGAAATTACTGGATTTTGACTTTCAGAGTCCCCTCTGAAAAGATTGGGATGGCAATGCCAATTATTTTGTTTTTGCTATACAATGAAGACATCTGGGTTTGAGTTCAGAAGATGAATGAGACGATAGATCAGAATTTCAGCTTTTGTTTCCTGATATGTACATCTAGATGTGTTAAACAACATAGAACATGGCACATTTTGGTTGAATCACTCATTTTTCGAGTGATCAAAAATATTTGACCATGTGATTGACCGGTGTTTTTTTGTTGCCCAGGTGTGTCTTGTTAGATGCCCAGGTGTGACTGGTTAAGTAATTAATCCCTCTGAATGTGTACACTTGGTCTGAGCCCTGGATTTTGCTTGTCAAAGACTACATTTGTTGTTGAAAAGGATAAACCAACATGAAGACCAGAGAGCTGTCTATGGGAGAAAAGCAAGCCATTTTGAAGCTGAGAAAAGAGGGAAAATCAGAGCCATTGCGCAAGGATTGGGCATAGCAAGTACAACAATTTGGAATGTCCTAAAAAAAAGAAATCACTGGTGTACTAACCATCGAACATCGAACACATCTGCCAAAGTAAATAGCAGCAGTTGACAGAAACATTGTGAAAGCTGCGAAGAAAACCCCGAAAACAACAGTCAGTGACATCAACAGCAACGTCCACAGGGCAGGAGTGAAGGTATCACAATCCACCGTTCAAAGAAGACTTCAAGAGCAATACAGAAATATATTGGCCATGCCACAAGATGCAAACCATTCATCAGCACTAAGATTGGGAAAGCCAGACTGGAATTCGGAAATAAATACAGAGATGAGCCACAAAAGTTCTGGAAGCAAGATTAACCTCTACCAAAGTGATGGAAAGGCCAAAGTGTGGAGAAAGAAAGGATCTGCTCATGATCCGAAACAGACGAGCTCATCAGTCAAGCATGGTAGAGGCAGTGTCATGACTTGGGTTTGCATGGCTGCTTCTGGAATGGGCTCACTAATTTTTATTGATGTAACTCATGATGGTAGCAGCAGAATGAATTCAAAAGACTACAGAAATATTCTGTATGCCAGTTTACAGGGAAATGCATCCAATCTAATTGGGAGGAACTTCATCATGCAGCAAGACAATGACCCAAACACACTGCCAACACAACAAAGGAATTCATCAGGGGGAAAAAGTAGGTTTTAGACTGGCCAAGTCAATCACCAGACCTTAACCCACTTGAGCATGCATTTCACCTCCTGAAGAGTAGACTGAAGGAAGAAACCCCCCAAAACAAACAACAACTGAAAGATGCTACGGTACAAGCCTGGAAAAGCATCACAAAAGAAGAATGCAACAGTTTGGTGATGTCAGTGGGTCTCTGGCTTAATGCAGTTATTGCAAGCAAGGGATATGCTAAATATTAAGTGTTGTTTACTTTAAGACTATCTGTTCTAATACTTTTGCTCACTTACATTGGGTGGTCTGCCACCAAAGGTGCCAGGTTCTACATTATTTAATACATCTAGATGTATTAATATCAGGAAATGAAAGCTGAAATTCTGATCTATTGTCTCATATTCATCTTTTGGTCTCAAACCCAAATGTCTTCAGTGTATAGCAAAAACAAAAGAATTGGCCTTGCCATTCCAATACTTTTGGAGGGGACTGTGTACTTGTATCTTTGCTACCAATAACATGATTTGTGTATGTGCATTTCTGCATGTATGTATTATAGGTCCAGGATGCTCAGGCCACAATGCGTTTGTACACACTGGTGAAGAAGAAGTGGGAGGCAGAGCTTAAAGCCACCAGGGGTCAGACCACCAGTCGGAAAAGCCCTCGCAAACCCAGAGCCAAAGTTGACTTGAGAACAGCTCAAATGCACAACACATACGGACAATGAAAATGAAATGGAGCTGAAACTGAAACACACACCCACACCCCACATGGTAAATCAGAGAAGAGTTCCAAGTGACAAGTGTTTCCATCACATTACATTTAGCAAAATTAGCAGTAAACCACTACTTCAGCAGTTTTGTCAGTCTTACAATTAGTAATGTCTTTCATGGCATCTCTAATTTTGGGATGAGTTTAAGGATCATTAAGGGATTACACACACATCAGTTTTTACTTCATAGGTGACTGCAAGTGAATAATGTGGCAATCACACTAGTTGTATTCCTCCAGTGCAGCCCTTTGGAAATGATCCACATATGTGTATGCACACAACATATATTTGTATTTCAGACCCAGTGGGATCTTTGTCTAACAGTTTGTTTTATTATTCAGAGTCATTTTGAATGCATTCTATTAAAAGACATCTAAAAGAAATCTGCATATATGAGTAATGTTATATTAGTATAGGTGGAAATTCATTCTTTTCAGATTTAGCACATACTTGTTGAATTTTTAAATGTAAGTAGCCTGATATAATTTTATAAAGAACAACCCTATTAGGTAAAAAAGTGTATCTGTCTACAGTGTACTTCTCTTACAGTGTGATATTGAGTTGTAGGGTTACTCAGTACCGGTGTAAATTTGGATACAGTTCCACCACTGATTCAAACTTACGTTATGTTACGTTATGTTATGTTAACAGGTCACTGAATGTTTTACTGCTGGGTAGCATTCAGTCCCTAAGTTGTTTAAAAATTTGTATAAATATAATTAGATTTTTGTAATTCATTTCAACATGAAATAGTCAAGATCTGGAATCAGCCAACATAGTCCAGCTGAGCTAGGCTAACCTTTGGGGGATTGGTTTATCTTTGCTAAACAATGGAAGTTTGTCAAAATCAGATGAATTACATGTGCATTTATTCATCTGGCAGCTGCGCTTATTCAAAGTGACCTACTAGTGAGGCAAAATCCAAGCAAATGGCCAAGCTCAGTCAGTCTTTATCAGGGAATTGAACACAACTTTCTGTCCACTAGCAGAGAACCTGAATTGCACAGCTACCATGTTAAGCACTACCTAAACTTACCTAAAGCTTTCTCATCAGTGTGGTGTGTAGATCAATGGCTGTGTTATCTTTTTAAGTAAAGAATTAGGGCCACTTCTCAAAAAGGCAAGTTAATTTATTGTCTGAAACAACATGGGGGAAAAAATATCAATTTACACTGATGTTCATACTAAAGAAACTCCACACACTTTAACACAGATGCACACAACCTTAGAGAGCACAACCAAAACAAAAAAATGAAGGAAAATTGATTGTTAGGTTCCTTTATTCATGCTTATTCAAGATTTTTGGTGTTTTTCCCTTTATCCTGTGGATCAGTTTTATACACATATATTAAGTATTTAGAATTGCAAACCCAACACTGCTAACATGCTTTCATCCACTACTAGCAATGTTAGCATTTTTTGGGTGAACTATTGGGTAATAATGAATGGAAGCTAGCAGGGCATGAAAGCTGTTCACATATTGTTCTAGCTTCCATCCCCAGTAAGCCACTGTATCTTGTTTGGTTTCTGGTGGTAGAGCTCAGTTGGTAGAACATGGGACCCTTGATCTCAGGACTGTGGGTTTGAGCCCCACACTGGGTGCCAACCCCAGCCACTGGCAGTGCACAGGCTAGTGCACTCTCAGTGCCGGTCCCAAGCCCAGATAAATGGGGAGAGTTGTGTCAGGAAAACCATCTGGCGTAAAACCTGTCGCAAATCAATATGCAGACAATGGAAGGTGATCTGATGTGGCGACCCGCTGTGGCGACCCCTAACGGGAGCAGCCAAAAGAACAACAACAACAAATAATGTTATATATGCTGAATGAGAATATAAAATTGGTTGCACTCCATGTAAAAAGACTCATAACCTCAACTGGAGTGAAGGGTCAATGACAGGTTTACACAAATGGGCTTTTCCTGCATAAAACTGGTATTCTGTAGTTACATAGTGTTCATGTTTGGTGTTTTTCCCTTTATCCTGTGGATCAGTTTTATACACATATATTTAGCAGTGTTCTTTCAGAAGTCATTATTTTTTATTTGTTATGCTTGCTGTCATGTTCATCAATGTCCTATACGTACAATACCCAGCAAACCTTACTGGAAATCCTCACTGCAAGTGGTTGTGAATAAGAATTGCTAACCAATAGCACAGAAGGCATGATTAAAAAAATACAATTGTGGGAAGAGTAATGTTTTGTTTATCAAATGCAGTAAAAGAATGCATTAGTACAGCATGCCCACTGTGGTAAATACAAACAGATGAATGATTTCCCAAAAAGATGTGGAAAATGGTTGGGGGTTCTAGACAAGGAGAATAAATATGAATAAGCCTGTGCAGCCAGCACTAGACTAAATCTATTGGACTTTACCACAAAAAAAAAAAAAAAAAAAAAAATTCTAATGAAAACTACAATTCCATCAACAGCATAGAGCAAAGCAATAAGCCACAAAGGCATGAGTTACAGTGATTTTAGAGACTAAATCCAGCTTACCCAAAAACAATATGATAAAATCCAGTGTTCAATGAATAATTTATTAATAATAATATTCACAATAAGTAATTCTTCTGCCATACAGTGTGGTCAGTTAACAGTAAGATTTGGTTGCTAAGCAACATAAAGGGCAAAGTTCAGGGCATTCTATGGATAAAACAATGGCTTAATGACTAAAATTACTGGTTTAAAACCTGGTGCATTAATACAGAATTCAATTACTGTGATGCAGTCACAGGTGTGCATGGATCACAGTATTTTACAATGACTGAAACTATCTGTTTTATGAACTATCATTGCCCTTTTGGCCTCTGAATTAAACTGCGGTAAGGCAGCTATAGAAAACATTACTGTATCTAGCCGTCTGATGTTAACATTTGGTATGGAAGAGTATGCCCTGGATACTACTTCAAACATGAACTGTAGATTTACTTGGTTTGGTATAATTAGGGGAGGTCTGTTTAGTTTGAAATGTTTTGTTCTACATTATCTACCAAAGTAGCTGTGGTGAAGGACCGACAACAGTCCAAAAACAGTTTTAATCTTTCAGAATTGACTTCCACCTCCAACATGCATCATCAGGAGGGTTACCCAACCACCAGTATTTAAACTAGAACAAAAATCCTGCACTACTGTGTCACTGCTGTCAGAGGCTTTTTTTTTTTTTGGTAACTGAATTCACAGTAACAGTGACAACCAAGAGGCAGTGATCTTCATACTCAGTCCTGGACAATACACAGGTTAGTAGTTTGTTAATGACTTTTCAAAAGAGAATGCTGAGCTGAACTCCTGCTGGTGTAACTATGGCCTTAATGGAGAGCAGTGATATTAATTTTGGGTCAACACCTGTGTAATTTTTTTCAAATGGGACGTCTCAGTGTTAAATTGTCTGTTTTGTACAAGTTTACATTGTTGTATCTTACATGCATGTTATATCCTATTCCTTCAATGAGAAGTACCTGAAGTCTGGTAAGAAAGTTTGAACTTTGACCTGAAGAAGAAAGGGATTCATTCTAAGTACACTTCTGACCTCAAACTAGGCTGACTTTAACCAAGAGCTTTGACGCTGGTTTAATGGTTTGTCTTGTAAAGTATAAGTAAAGTAAGTTCTTAGCTGGCCAGTTCCTAGCTGGGGCCATTAGCTTCAGTCAGTGTTTTTGTTCCTAGGCTAACATTAATAAGTTAACATTCCAACATACTGTAGCATTAAGCTTTTGGTTTTTAACATTATGCTTTCTTTTATTCTGCTGCAAAAATGAATTGCATATTCTGTTTAATTTGAGAGGGCCTGGTTATTTCTTGCCTTGTCTTTTTCTTCCTAAGGCACAGTTTTTTGTCTGTACTTTCAGGCTTGAAAATGTGTAGTGTCGTAATTCATCACTAACAATTCAGTGTTCTAGAAGAATGCTAATGCTCTAGTGTTCTTATGCTACATTTAAATGGGGTTGTATTTTCAGTACTTTGGAAGTTCAGGACATATGGTGCAGCACACATGTACACACACGTACACAAAATACACTTCCATCTTCCATATTAAACATGCAGCCAGGTGGATTGTGGTTGCATCCTTAATCTACCATGAGCTTTCACTGGCAGACAAAATAAATTCAGAAATTCACATTCCAAATTATTTATAAATAACATCCTGGAGAAATAGCTATACTAGTCACAATTTTTTTATCTACAAAGTGGAGAATTCAGGTGAAAAATCCCACCCACCACAACTTCCAACAGCTGCAGTAAGCAATGGTGTAAATATGAATATGAAAGAGGATTGAGGATAAGTCAGTAACATGCATTCTGGTTTTCTGTTCAGATGTCTGTGTATGAGGTTGGTTAAGTGTCTCAATCAAGTATTTCATATAAATAAAAAGGAAAATCAAGCTTCACTGCACAACGGCCAATCACGACCAGAGCACCCTTGCAGCAGAAAAAAAAATTCAAACAACAAAAAAAGGAATATACAACATGAAAACTGAGAGACCGCAGATCTCAGGCCTGATGGAAAAGTAATAAATCTAGCATAAATAAAAATCACAACATGAGCTGTAGAAGAATCTCCCAGACACAGAGATGGAGAGAGGGATGGGAGAGGTAGAAGAACGAGAGGTAACGGAAGAAGGGAGAGGAGTCACGGAGCCGAGCCATCTGTCGTGCCTGCGAGTTTTTCTTCGTCAGCTTGTTTCTGGTGCTGCAGTCGAGCGTAGCTAACCGCATCCCCCCTTAGCAAAAGAAAAGGGAGATAGGGACACAGAAGAAGACAAAGACATACATATTGGGGGTAAGTATGTGAGTGAGTCAGTGTATTAGAAAGGGATAAGTCCAAAGTCAGTCAAAAATAATATCTTTTGAGGAACAAATTATGATGTGTGAATTGTGAAAAATCTGTGAAAAAGCATCAAATGTTTTAAGTTGGTCATGAGACAAAAAAAAAAAGGACAGGAAATATGTGAATATTTACACACACATACACATTGCATATTCAAAGCAGAATATAGTTCAGGATTATTGTATTATAAATATATAAATTTTGGTATATCAAGGAAATTCTCACTTCTTTCCAAGGGAAGCAAGTCCATAAAGCACTCCAGTAGCAAAGGCAATAGCGTTTCCAAACAGCGTGGTGAGGGACAGGCTGAGAAACACAGGGAACAGTGCCATCCTGATAGAGAACCAGAGTTATAATTAATCATTCATCTCATTTTCTTCAGTAAAGAGTTCCAGTTCAAGAGTTACGTTTCCCAAATTAATGTCATATAACATGGTCACTGTCTTATGCTTTATAATATACTGTCAAAATTACATAATTGGAATGATATTTGAATCGGCTATAGATTAGATGCATTTTCCACAATCCATATCTGTGCAAGAGTCTTTAAGGCATGTGTCTTCAATCTTATCTGCACAGATATGGCTGCAGGTTTTCATCCCACCCAAATGGGAGACACCTCATACTTTCGGAGACACCCAAATGGGAGACACCTTTTGGACTGAATTAAAAATGGTGCATTTTTCAAAATGTTTTGTTTCACTATCAATTTTATTTTTTCATTCCTCATAGTTGTAGAATAACATTTATAAACAGTGATTTATGGGTCAAAAGTTTAGGTTTCTGTGGGACAGTATCCACCACCAATGCAATAAGCAACCCAACCCAAACCCAAGGTCTGTATAGTATTACCATAATAAACTCTCTCTTTCTTCCATGCCCACTTCATCTGTTCATCTCTCTAACACACTCTAATATGTTAACCCACACTGACCCACAGTAAAGCACTGCTTTCTGCCAGGGTCGCATCCTGTCTGCTCGGTCTGCTACGGCATTCGCAAACTCCACAAACTGACAGCAGAATGGGACTTCACAGATGAACAACACACATGCAGTCAACCTGCAAATACACAAGCAGTGTGTCCATAAACATACACTGAAAGCATTCCCCTGGAAGAGTGAAATTTGCAGAACATGTCTCTTAACCTGCTAAATGCCACAAACAGAATAAAGTGTGTGTGTGTGTGCGTGTGTGTGTGTGTGTACACTCACACCATCCAGACTCCTGCAGCGATATTTAAGGGGTGCACAGTCACACAGTTCCAAATACCCATCACCGCACAGGCTGGAGAGATAGAGAGAGAAAATGTAACTCAGTGAGCATTAAAGCCACAATACATTAAATAAAAATTGGTTCTACCAGTAGTCCCTGTACTTTTTACCAGTAGCCTGACTACCCAAGTCAAACACACACTCCACAATCTGGTCATATATTTTTTTACTGAACCACTATAAGTGATCAGCATTAGGCAGCATTAGAGAACTGAGAACTATTCACGCAGGCCAATGCCAACACACATACACACTTGTACACACTACCCCTCTGTTTCTCTGCTGAATAAAAGAATGCTGTTAAAATGTCCTCAGCCCTCCTCAATTTTGTGTGGGGTGTGTGTGTGTATAATGGGAGTGTGAAATATTAAATGTCATATACATGTATGTTTTGTGACTAAGCTACGTTTATGCTGGTTTTATAATTCATTTAGGACCCTGTTCTAATGTCCTGAATTGGATTCTTCCAGGCACGGGGAGATTTTGTTTTCATCTGATGCATCTGGTG